CGCATTTACTGATTTTGTCTCGATTATGATCAGTGACTACGTATGCTTGTATTAGTTGAACGTAAACAAGATGCTCTTTTTAATACAAACTAATGATATTGATGGCATCGATTTGCAACAGCACCTTACTAATACAAATGTAAACATTCATTGCCAGTGAACAATGCTATTTATTTTATATTCTGTACAAAGTTGCCGGCATTGTGTTTACATGTGATAGCACGCGCGGGTTCTTTGTTGTCTATGTATTAGAAATTCGAATCTCAATATTCTCAACCGTTTGACGTTCATAATTGTCTCAATAGTAGACCTTAGTTGAACTATATAAATAAAGAGAGTTATAGTTAAAGTGAATTGATTACATTTTTGGTAAATAGAATTACGTGTATTATTTTAACATCGTATTGTTTTTCGTCAACAGTCTTTGTGAGAAATTGATTAAGCAGCAATAATTGTGAACTCCATTTGTCATTTTATATAAATGTACGGAACTGTTTGTTGTTGTACATGTTAGTTTGACCACTCTCGAAAAAATCGCAATTTTAACACATTCGTTTTCATTTTATTTTTCAGAAATTCGGTTGCCAATCGATTATGTCTGACTCTGGAAGTCCAAAGTCCATGCGCACAACGGTACATTTCTTGTTTAAAAAAATTATTTATCAAAGAAGACCAAACACAAAATATAAACAGTTATTCACATCCAATATTGCTATTTTTAGCACTCCTTTTGTAGTTCGATTGAAATGATTGTTCGTTGTATCAGTTTTATCCTTATCTAAGTTTGTTTTCATTTTTAGCAACATTACTGCCCAATATGTCTCAAATCAATAGGAAATCAAGAAAATTTGAATCGACACGTGGAAGTACTTCATTCAGAAAAAACAGTTCTCTACGTGTGCCCGATTTGTAATTTAGGGCTTCGTTGGGCAAAGAATTTTCCAACACACGGTACAAAATATCATGGCATGACTCATCAAGACGGACTGAACAAAATGAAATCGCTTCAAATAAAGGTCGTTGATAATAGCGGTAAATAGTTAGATATTGAGTCTAAATAAATAGAAAAATCTATTCTCTTAGATTCTTTCACTATTGTTGATTTGTTACTGTTGTTTTTCAGGATATATGGGTTCGGCAAAGACTATAACAACGCAATGTTTAGATGATAACGTTGTAAGACTTCATAAAATAATAAATTATATTCTTTTTCTTCAACCAATGCTCTTCTCTCGTTTCAGCCGAAAGATGAGAACATTCCATTAAAGAAAAGAAAGATTGATTTTGATGAACAACAGACTGAAAATGATAATATTCGTGTCGAAAAATATGTTTCCCCCGAAAACGTTTCGCCCAAAAATGTTTATATCGATGCGAATTCTATATTCAATGCAAGAATTGATATTTTGAGTGAATTGAGCAAATGGGAGTGTGGTTCATTGTCTTTGCTACGTGAATCTAGTGATCCAATAATGATTCGGTTGGTATTAATGATTGGCGATCAAGTTCAATGGGATGAACTATTGACCGTTCAAACCAAGTTCCAAATGATTAAAAAAACTGAAATGAAATGGACTGGAGAAGATTTCTCACGAAACTATTCGCGAATGATGGAAACTGTCGTACGCTTCAAACTATCAAAAGTTCGTGATAAGTTTTTCAACGTTTGGTCAGAGGTTGAGAAAACAATGATGGAACAACTCAAGACAAAGTGTAAGTAAATGTGTAAAATATTCATTGTCTATAAACGGTCTAATTTTTAAATTATTCTTGGCAATATAGCGTCTGGTGCTTATGAAGAAGAAGTGCCAATGAAGACCGAATTGAATAACTTCGAACAAAGTTTCACCGCATCAAGTGAAGAGACAACCACTTTGCCGATCAAAAGCGTGGATGTAAAATGGACATGCACCCTTTGCGATGAATCGAACACTGGCTACGATTGTAAATCGTGTGGTGAATTCCAACAGATATTACCATCAACACCAAAACTACCCGACACCTCCCAATTGATCAATCATTCAACGACGCCGAAAAAACTAGCTCCATTTCAGTTGATAAACGATAGCAACAAAAACCGTACCACCAGCAATGCCAAAGAAAAAACCATTTTATTTGACCACAAAGCGAAACTCTATCGTTTTGAACAAAACAATTGGGAGGAACATGGTATTGGTAACATCAAAATTTTGGGAAATTCATATGATAATACACTTCAATTACTGATGCATAGCGAGAGCGATTTAACACTTGTTTGCAATCAAACCATTTCAAAACATACGTTATTCGACGAGGCGAAAATTGAAGAGGGTGTAATAACATGGATGGGACATGAATCAGGTGATTCTTCGGAAGAACAATGGGCATTAACATTTGACGTTGTATCGACTTGCAAAAAGTTCAACAACATCATTTTGGTTGTAACTACAGCAACGGAAAAACTAAAATCAGATACGATGAGCACAGAGTCTATGAATTATATGGATCATTTGATTACATATTGGACAACAGATACACCAGAAGACTTCAAGAACCGATTTTGGAATACTTATAAAACAATGAAGACTGAACAACTTTCACGTGATATTCAAACTTGGAACGATATGACCATTCGCCTTGATATTAGAACGGAGGGTAAAATGCGCTTTTTTGAAGATTTATGCCAGAATCTGAACCAAAGATCATCAAGTCATTCGACAGATCACAGTTCCATTCAGTAAACCTTAGCCAAAGATTCTTCATTTCTAAATTCATTATCAGACCATTTTTACTAAAGACGTTTTTCAATTTGAGAAATACACAGTCCACGCGTCTTTATATTCAGCTTAGGCAAATGCAATCGATAACATGTTTGTGATAGGCCCTATAATTATTGATACAATTTATAAATGGATAATAAATAGTCGAAACGACTTTATGTTCGGTTTGAGAAATCACAATCAGATATCAATAACATGTATACAAAATAACAATTTAAATCAAAATAATAAAAATTCAATCATTTTCATTTAACAAACAAACGCACATAGTTTTTTTTTCTTTTCACAGTCGTTATAGGATGAATTGAATTGAAGAAATAATGGCACAGAAAGTGATCGTACTGTACAGCGCAGTAAACTGGAATTTTATCAAGGTTTGATTTTATTTTATTTTTATTTTTATTTTTTAACTTGGAATATGTGGCATGAAATTTCAAAGGGTTTAAAACCAAAAAGATCATATGCATTGTCTTCTTCTGATTCATAATTATAATACAGAACTAACTTGTTTGCATAACATATTTTTAAATTAAAACAATTGGTTATTACAATCACATTTTATGGCTGATTTCCTTAAAAATCGAAAAAAAAAATGTAAATAAACAGGCACCAAACAGCAGAAAACACTGCTTTACAGGAGAAAGAGAAATAAAAAAAAGTCTTTGAATTCTCAGAAGCAATTAAGAGCAATTGAGTTAATTAAGAGTCTTAGTCTTAATAAAATATTCAAATATGCCTATTTTTTTTTATCTAAATAGCACAACTATACCATATTTTACATTTTCCCCCATCGAAATCGGTAATCCGATGTTAATTCATATATCATCTTTCTTGAATGCAGTTCAAATATGTTTGAATAACTAAAAATGACAAGATATAAATGAAATAAAAAACAATCTGTTGTGTTTTTTCTATTATTTTATTGAATGAACTCAAATTGGTATTTAAATAAACGTGACGGAAAAGTATTTGTAAAAATTAAGAACAAAATGAAAAAAAGCCCTATATAATTTTCGATATATATGTAGAATGAATTAATTTTCATTATTCAATTCGTTGTAATCTTAATTTATTCTTGCAATTCGTAATCAATTTATTATACATTTTCTGCACAACACTTTAAAAAATGTCGTTTAACTTTTCATTTGAATTCAATTGTTATTGAACTGTCATTATTTTACTGTTTGTGTAAGTCACCAACGCCACGAGCGAAATGTTTCATTTGAACTTTGTTTATACGAAAACATCTATAGTGAATACACTCACACAAACAAAAGTTGCAAACAGCAGCAGCGATAGTGTATGACAGAATTTTTTTTTCTGCAGAAATGTGTTTAGTTGCGATCGATACGTCAACGTGCATGGCGTTCTAATGTAAATAACATTCAATTTTTTTTCATGTGATTTTTTTCTTTTTTTTTTTGAGTTATTGTTTTGTTGGTTACAAGTAAACCATGCAGAGCACAGAGAATTTTGAATGGCAGTTGAGAGATTTGTTGGGAAATGGCTCCTTCGGTTATGTATATAAAGTAAGTCTTTCCTGTAACAATATTAAAATAAACACAAAAAAACACCAGTGTAAAGTGTATATTTTTTATATTGATCGAGTGGTTTTTCTCCTATTTCATTTTTTATTTTCTATTAGGGAAGATCAAAGACAAATACTCACACAAACGTTGCCATTAAATCATTCAGATTTACAACAAAGTTCTATCGGAATCGAGAGGCGAACACACTGAAACGCGCAAATCATGTAAATGTGGTGAAATACATCGCAATGGAAAACAATCTATTCACATCTGAACAACATCTGATCATGGAATACTGTTCCGAAGGGGACTTACAGTCTTTTATTGAATCGAACCAAAATGGTTTGTCTTCAAGTGAATTTCACCAGTTCTTCCGCAACTTCTTGGATGGTTTGAAGCACTTAAATGAAAATCATATCGTTCACCGTGATATAAAACCATCGAACATACTAATTGATGTAAATCACGGACAGAGAATCTACAAACTTGCAGATTTTGGTGCAGCACGAATACTGAAACCAAATGAAAGATATGGGTCTTTGTATGGCACCGCAGAATATTTACACCCGGATATTTTCGAGCATATGTATCGAACATATGACGGACGCCCAACCAAACAAGATTTTGGTGAACTTCACGAGCTTTGGTCAATTGGAGTTACCTTATACGAGACCGTAACAGGCTTGCTTCCATTTAATCCAAAAGATGGTCGTAAGAATCCAAAAATGTTGTACAAAATGACAAAAGAGAAAGAACGTGGACAGATCTCAGCGATAGAGACACAAAATGGGAATATCGAATGGTCATCAAAATTGCCTGATACCTGTGCCCTTAACGAACCATTGAAGAAAAAAATTACGACACTTTTGGCCGGTTTGATTGAAGTAAGTATTTTGAAAAGCAAAACACTTTACTGTGACAAATAGAAAGAAATGTAATGCAAAAAATATTCTATTCTGCATTAATTTTAAAAATATGTATTTTTAAACGTGTTTCAGTCGGATGAAGAGAATATGTGGTCGAAAGCAAAATTGTTCTTTGAAGCGGACAAAAGGTTGCCACCACTACGTCGAACTTTTAATAAATCCGGAATATCGCGCAGAGAGGCACGAAAAAAATTGTCAAAATCGACACATTTGTATCGTCGAGAAAAGTAAGTAACATTCATATTAAGTCAATATAAAATATATATATATGTATATTTTAAAGTACAGACAGTTGTTTTCAATGTTTTTAATATAAGAAATGTATTTCAATTCCGAATGACATAGTTCCTTCTTTTATTGAAAAAATTATTAACTCTTGCGTTTTAAAATAAACAAAGTACCGCTAGTTCTGCAGAAGGTGAATTGCGCATTAATAATCGTACAACAAATGTCTATCTTATAACCCTGCTCAGAGTGCATATACACAGCAGTGTCATAGTAGTCGTTGGTTAGTTCGTACACGCATACACAAACATTTATATATAACATCAATTGGTTTCAACGCATCAAGTGACAGGTCACTCTTTCTTTACAGTAGTTCCATTTTTCGTGTTTTAAAACGAAAATATTCGGCATATTTAAAAAGAAGACAAGTTTGATTTTATTCTGCAGAACATTAATTTCACCTTTCTTATTGGGCAGAATTTTTTTCATTTAATTGTAGATCAAAGTATAAACGATTCCAGCGAGAATTTTCGCTTGTTCCAGAAAATTGAACGAATTTTCTTCGAAATGCCTTCACGTGAGTATCAACAAAATACAAAATGGTGAAAAATCAAAAAATAATTTCTTCATATTCGGTAGAAACCAGATCAACAACAAGAAAACATGAACAAATGATGCAATTTTGTCCACCTCATCGCTTCAATTTTTTAATTGATCAACATGACACAATTAAAGGTAGTTGTTTTGAGTTTTTTCATCTCTGAACAAGGATCGTCGATCTCATATTTAAACTATTTATTTCGTTTTTTCGACAGTCACACGTTCCTTAACAAAGGCTCTCAAAATAATTGGATTGAATGTACTGACAAAACAAGAATTACCACAAAAAATACGAGTTCGTCGAGTAACCTGCCCAGCATTTACACCAAAGCCAAAAAAACGTTCAACACGCTTGCAAACGCTACCAGATTACAAAACCACACAGACAAGTGAGATCGCAGATACAAGTAGAATGATTTCAAACTAAAATATTATGTAATTTTTTGTTTATCTAGGTGTCGCACATTCAAATAAAATGAAATGGTGTGTTTGCCGCCGTGAATCCTTTGGCAATATGATTTTCTGCGAAAATCCACAATGTACTATCAAATGGTTTCATATGGACTGTATGAAAGTAACAACCATTCCAGAAGGTGATTGGTTTTGCCAAAATTGTCTCTTGTAAGCATAATTTATTTATTATTGTTTATTGTGATGATTTTCTTCCATTCATTTCCCATTTTTCATAAGTTTTTATCTTGAATATTTTCAGCTTTCGGACTTAATTGAACTTCTGCTTGGTTGCCAATCGATTTCGATAAACTTATAATTAAGAAAAACACCACAATCGTTACGAATAGAAAAAGAAGCAGTTGCTTCTCAAAAACAGTTTCATACCTATTTGTTAAAAGTTTTTATAAGAAATAAGTCAGATCACTTTGAAAAGAGTGAAGAATTGCATCTACACGTTTTATTGAAAATGAATGTTAATGTGTATCACATATTATATAAGTATTAGTGAAAATATGCATAAGATGTTCTGAATAGTTGAATATCAAATAGAATAAGAACCAGAGCTCAATCGATCTCAATATACATTTAAGAAAGCAAGAGGATTTTTTAAAAAGCATTTGTTCAAGTTTTCAAATAACTAAAATATTGTAGATGGTTTTGAAAAGAATACAATAAAAACGCTCAACAGAGCAAAATACACACACACACATATATTTATCGTACATATAATTCAATACACAGTGAGATAACGGTAAACAGAATACATTTAATCATAATAGGAAAAACACGTATGTATATTGTGCTATGCGTGTGAATTTCTGTCTTTATATAAGTACAACTGCGCATAATTAATGTCACTCATTTGGTTTACCTAGTCTGCTATGCACCAACGATTCCCGCATATCGATTTTAATCAACAAAAAGTTACAAGTTCATAAAGTGAATATTTTTTGCACATTTTGAAAATCATGTCGACATCAATTGAACTTTCTTTAATGAGATGTGCAGTGAATACACATCGATGTGTATTTGATAATTGTCATCAAAACCAGGGTCTTGTTTCTATACCAAAAAGAAAAAGATATGAAGTGCTCAAAGTACACAGAATATATATTCCAAAGCGATCAGTAATTTGCCAAGAACATCTTGAAAATGGAAATTGGCACGATTTTATAAACTTAGAGTTTAAATATACAAGGGAGTATATCGAAGACATGATAGATTTATTAAGATTACCTTTGGATGATGAATATGGTTGTCGAGAATTTCCGAAAGAAAGAATGAAGGAAAAAACTGGCCTATCATTGAACCAGTTCAATGAGCTCTTGAATAATTTACCGACACTACATCAATATTTCCCGAATAATACTAAGAGAGCCAAAAGAGCCCTTCTTATGTATCTCATTCGTTTGCGCAAAGGCGATCGATATAATCGCGTTTGTGATTATTTCAATGTGTCATACAAAACAGGTATTGCATATATATCTAAAGCAAGAATATCGCTATTAACAGACTTTGTTCCAAATAATCTCGGTTTTGATGCAATGACCAGAGAAACATTGGTAGAAAATGTCTCTATAATGGCAAATAATTTGTATCTCAATGGTGAAAAAACACAAGCAATAATAATAGCTGATGGAACATATGTGTTTTGTAATAAAACACAAAACTTTACCAAACAAAAAGAGTTTTATTATCATCAAAAAAAACGTCATTTTTTCAAGCCAATGGTTTTTCTAACAACCAACGGAAAGATTATAGAAGTGTTTGGGCCTTTTAAATCTTCGGATAATGATGCGGCGATTATGGAAAACATATTTAATACATACGCGGAGCAAATTGAACAAAAATTACACAACGGTGATGTATTTCTCTTGGACAGAGGTTTTCGCGATGTGAAAAATTATTTAACGGCGAAAGGATTCGTTGTAAAAATGCCTGAATTTGTTGACAAAAAAATATTAGGTCAATTAACAACAATCCAGGCTAATTCATCACGAATGGTGACAGCTTGCCGTTTTGCTGTTGAAACTCGCAACGGCCATATGAAGACTATATGGCAATTATTTGATAGAACTTGGATAACATATGATCTCCCACATGCCATGACTGACTATCGTATTGGGGCCAGTTTAATAAACAAGTTCCGTTTAACATTTGAATCCAATAAAAATGATGCCGAAACAATCGCTCAAAGTATGATTGAGAAAGGTGATTATAATCAAAATGAATTTGCTGTCGTTGTTGATAGTGCGGTATTTAACAATTCTGTGAAAAAGTGTGTAGAATGTAATCATTTGGTTTTGGTTTTTCCAGCAGTTGCCAAGAATGAATTTAGATTAATATCCATGGGGAATTATCAACCACATCTGGCATTATCCTATATTCATGAGCAAATTGAACTTGATGGTTTGAAGATTTTCGTTTATCCCGTCAATCTCGTTAAGACTGTTTTTAAGAATTTGATAAAGAAATATGAAATTAAGTCACCAATTGTTGTATTGACGTTTTTTAAATCGAGATTCCGTAATAATGTGAAGCATTATGTTTATATTCTCGCAGATCAGGCCATAAAAGATAGAAAAGGTATTATTTCACACTATTGTGACTGTCAGCATGGTCGGAGATTAGTAGGTTGTTGTGGTCACGTTCTTGCATTCATAGCTTATTTGGGTTATTACAGATTCCATTTGGACGAAATTAAAGGGAAATCACAATTTATTGATAACTTTTTTCAGCAAGTTCAACCACCACCACCACCACCTCAAGTAAAATAAATCACATTTCTGTTTATTCAATTTATTTAAGAAGTGTCAATCCATATCTGCAGAATATTCAAAAGTATTTTCAATATGTTGAATATGGTTTTAGTTTTGAATTTCTGCAGAATGTCGCCATAGCTTGCAGCTCTATGATATGCACTAATTTAAGTTTGTAATGGGAAAAGTACGAGAATAGTATTTAAACAATTCACACAGCATTTGATGTATTAATGATTTGTAATTATTTTTTAAAAAGTAAAAAAATATATGTTTTTGTGATCGACTTTATTCGCTTGTCATTATTTATATTTATGTAAACGTCAAACATAATTATTTTAGGGTATGTTCATGTTTTGACAATTAAGTTTTGACAATATACGTAAAATTCCAACATGTTCTTTATTCATTCGAGCCCGAGCATTACGAGTGCTTTCTTCTTGTCTCGTGGTCACTGAGCGTGCCTTTTCCGCTTTGTTGTTGCTCGATTCAGTGTGTGACTTTTGAAAATTTACTGCAGCACCACATTATACGGCGCGTGAATGATGAATAAATATTGAATGAACATATGTCGAATACACAAAATAAGCAAATATTTGGTTCTTCTAATTTATGCCAGTGTCTAGAATATGTAAACATGACTACGAAAATATTATCGCTCAAA